TCAAGCTGAAACTGTGCACTATAATACACTAAATACGTCAGTAGATCATTCCCAATAATGTCCTGCATTTGAGTAACATGCCTAAACAAGTGTTAATATTTACTCTATGTTGACGCCTGGGATGTTATCTTCTGGCATCTTCTAAGATTGAAAAAAGTAAGAAAATGAAGTAAATCACATGGAGTTCAGTACAGAATTGCGTATGGGTGGACAGTGAGTAATCTGCTCAGCTGAAGGCAATTCCTATTTCCTATGCGAAATCTGTGCGATTTCTTGTACCATAATCCTTTCCGCGCACCGGATTACGATTTCAGAAGTACATCCAAATCTAAATTCATTCACAAACAAAACACAAACTGGATCATATGATCCATGGTTGCTGCGCGTTTCTGGATCAAATGTGTTCTACTTCCAACACTTGTTTTGCCTAAAAGTTCAAGTGCCTGGGCACAAATTTCAGAGGTTTCCCGTGCAGTAAAACAGAACATGTGATCAGACTGCACAAAACTGGTCTGAGACGTTCACGAAAACACCTGGTAATAAAACGCACGGGCCTCGATTAATGTCCTGACGGTTCCTGTGTAGAATATGTGGTTTATTTTTGCACCGCATTACTGCATGCATGATTTTGAGTTGGATCACCACCACTTGTTATACCTGGTCAGGAACACGCGGTAAAGCAAGAAGCGCCTAGTGCAAATGAGCTGCTTGTCATTTGTATTCTTCGGGGTTAGCCGAAATATAGCTAGCTATTGCCTATAAGCAAATGATTCGGTAAGTAATATACGTAGACTTTAAAGTGCAATCTTCCAGAAGCAAGTGAAGTTCAGTCCCCGGCGATGCACTGCTGATAATCATCAATAAGTATGAAACGCGAATAACTGCTCCTGAAGAGAAAGAGGACTGTTCCAACAACTTAAAACACCGAATAATTAAAAAGTGCTGATAAAATATTGAACCCTTCAGTCCAAACTTGCTAAACTAGATGGCCGAATTAGAGCATTCTATCTCATGTTCCCATTTACCAGATAGCAGACCAACATGAGAATGTGGATGAAATATTAGCATGAATTCATCCAGTTACATCTCCACTGCAAATAAATAGTAGGCTGTGTAGTCGTTGGTTTTAATCATTCGGCTACCTAAAGCACGGCAGCTGACAGACCGAAAACATAAAATGCTGACCAGCATCACCGCATAACTACAAAGTGATGTCGGTAAGCCACAGAGTGAGTTATTCTAAATGACAGTGAATCTAAAGAGAAAGTGGACGAAAGAAAGTTAATGGCTAATTATTTCACCATTCAGTCCACTGGTAAGTGAAGTTCTCAAGCTGTCGTAGTGACTCTATCCCAACACGGGTTCCTGACAGTAAACTGAATGAATGACGTTTGTGGGTTTGTCAAAAGTATGTAGATTTTATAGATAGGTTCAGCATTTAACTGAGGTCTTTTTCTTACCCACAGAGTATTACATGACATTTACTGAATATATCATTACAAAATATCCTATAGGTTTGAACGTGACACAGGAAAGCAGACAACCTGTTCCTTTTAAGACTAAGCCTGGACTGATGCCACATTTCCACCTACAGAAATATAGCTTGATTTGCAGTCCATCTGTTTATTTGTAATTTTTCGGAGGACACTCTTGCCGTGAGTCAAAACCCGCACGTAACTTTGCTACTGCGAAACATATTAGGAAATGAATGAAGTTTGTCGGAAAGTGTAATTCGTATCAGTTCAAAGCAGGGTGAATGTAATTCCACTTGACTGTTGGGAACATTTCAAGAGCCAAGCTTAGTAATTTGTATTAAGTATCTACTCATCTTGCAAACGACCGTGGATGTTGAATAGATGGGTATATTCGTAGTGCGAGCGGACTTGGGGTTTTCACCATAGACTTACTCTTCTTGTTAAAGCCAGCCTGTGTTGCAAAGCCGAGAAGCACTGTACAGCTCTGTCATCCGTGGTAGGAATCGTCAACAGTAAACAGTCTACCACAACCCGTGGAGATTCAGACAGTTCCAAAATACTGCTTTTCAACATTTCAGCATGTATTTACCTCACTTGCGGGATCAAAACTCAAATGGAAATTCCAAATCCTATACACGCTACCGGAAGTCAAGTGGCTTCGATGAAGAATAATTTCACAAGAGTAGAGAAACTTTTATCCGAGAAGTTGTTATCCGAGTAGCCAGCTAGCACGCGACCACGTGAGGTAGTTTCCGGGTTTGGAAGGTGAGTAGGGCTATGATCCACCCTATTGCGAATTAAAAACAATGCCGCTCAGCCGCTTGAAATTGAAGACATATGTATTCAAACAACAGCAACAACCCGCAGTCTGGGGACCGCGGGTTCCAGACTGGATTTTCATGTCGATGATTCGCACTGGGGACGAAAGAGTTCTACAGTACGGTGTAGACTGGCTTCAGCTGAGCGACGGGACTCTAACTGAAAATACATGGATAGTTCGATGACAAATTTTGCACCAACTAGTCCTGCGCGAAATGACCGTTTTGATAGAGAAAACGGCCGATGCGATGATAACTGTACAGGTTGGGTAAACCTCGTTCTCGGTGCACCTTATTTTGCAGATACTATTCGGTCAGAGGACGAGAATGGTGAGAAATATTAGAAATATTTGTAGAACGCGCTGAAAAGTATTTTCGCTTCTGGCGAAAACTGATGGCATTTGCTCTTCCTTAACTCCCCTTGAGAGTAGATTAGTTCCCCAGATAGCATTTATCGGAATTTGTGGTGTTGTCTATGTAAACACCGTTCTTACGGTTCTTATTCTTCACCCAAATGAATAGCCCAAGAAAAACTTCGGTAATCTCCCATCATGTGCAAACCCGAAGTCCAAACGCACTCGGTTGGAAGACTCAAATGACACCCAGAGCTGGAGCACTGTGGTCTCGACTCTCACACAATAATAAATCATGCAGACAAAGTGACCTCAGAGTTATTAGACATTGGCTCGCAACTGGTTAACGCAAGTTTAAACGTCTATTTGTCTCATTTGAAAAAGAAGATGGAGGCCTAGGTACGGGTTTGCTTCTTCACATACTAGAGAGGATGGTTCCTGGTATAGTAAAAAACAACGGTCGAAGACGAAGAGGAGTACCAAAACTGCCAACCAATCCGTGGGTTTCAGGTGACGTATTTCTAAACAACCTTGATGGTAAAGGAGAGTCGTGAAAAAGTGGTTCAGCTGGAATCCTTTTGACTAGTTCGTTGAAAAAATGAAATAAGAGTGAGTTCACTTCGCGAATTTCGATTTTTGGGTTGAGAAATTTAACGGAATCTTGAGAATCGTGCCGAAGAAGGATGCGACCGTTGAAGAGCTGTCAAACAGCTTTCAGCAATCTTGTGAATAGTATACATTTATGATACTATACTGCCAACGATTTTTGGGTTGAGAAATTTAACGGAATCTTGAGAATCGTGCCGAAGAAGGATGCGACCGTTGAAGAGCTGTCAAACAGCTTTCAGCAATCTTGTGAATAGTATACATTTATGATACTATACTGCCAACTCTCGAATAACCAACCAACTGAAACATGAGGCGGCCTGGCACAACAGATTCGGCTACAGAATTACAAAGACTGGAGATTCAACTGGAATTCAGCCGAGAGTCCGTCTAAAACCGATTTGTCATTCAAACACGTGTATATGGCAAATAGCTAGAATAGTTATCCACCGACACCATCAGTTAGCCAACTGCTAACACACTATTACGCAGGCCAACAAAATGGTCTTTGACACATTAGACATTAAACACAGATTTAAAGTAGACTGACACTTGTATACCTTGAGTACTTATTTTTTGAGTAAGTAGTATATCTTTACTCAGAGTTTCATTTGTTCGACAGTTTTGCGCTCTCCTGCAGAAAAGTCTACAAAATAAATTTTCGAACGTTACTGAACTACGTGAAACACTTAAAGTTTGAGGAGCAAATCATTCTATTATACCATGGTGTGTAAACTACTGGCATGCATGAAGTATAAGATTGATTGGTTTAGTGCAAACTATCTTCACGTCAAAGCTGACTCTATTCTCATTCACTGGAGGTGGTTTGCCTGGTTAACTGTAAGTTGTGACCGGGAAACACTTGGTCTGAAATAGGCGTACACTTGCTCCTGTCAGAATTCCCGTCGCGCAGCTCTTATCAATCACTTACTTGCTCTATCACGTCTTATGTTAGAGATAATCAGTTGGTGGTGTTCGGTAACGCAAACGGCATTATCGCTGCTTAAACGATGCCCTGTGGTTTTACGTAGGCTGGAGTGTATAGCCAGTTAAAGCTTGCAAAATGACGGGCACATTAAATGCATGAGTTCAAAGGCTACTATTTTCCTGTAGAACCTGTATTCAACGTGAACAACCTCATCGGTGTGTCCGATTTGCACTGTCCTCAAAGTTATTTGCGTATAAACTCGTGAGTTGCAGCCAAATGAGTCATGTGAGAATGCTCAGAAGCGTTTAGCAGACTCCAAAGATGAATGGCCTCGTGGCACTAGCGATATTCTTGGAAGATTCTACTCTTGTTGAGAAGTTGTGCTGCACAAAGTACAGCCGATACTGGATGGTTCGATGGAGTACTGGTGCTGTGTACACGCGCACAAATTCACTGAACGACAAATACAGAGTCTTTGGCTGATTGTAGCCGTCTGAAAGTACCAAACACTCACAAAGGAAACCTCCAATCCAAATGCCAGACCTTATAATGCGACTTGAGTAAGTGCAGCCAAATAAACAACAAAGTATAGAATGATGCAAACCGCATCCGGGATCATAAATCTTCTGTCTGCGTACTGACACTGTTTTTCTTCTCCATTAAGCTTCCCAGGAAGAAATCAATAAGAGCTGCAATACATGGACAGCAATGGCTTAGCAACAGCAGCTCTAACGTTCCATCTGCATGACTAGAAATTTGACACCAGATGACGTGTCTGAAGTCATTGAAACAAATACAGTGATTTTTCATTTTTGTTTAGCTTTTTTTGTCTCCTCACCAATTGGAAGAGTTCCTTGATGAAGATTAGCTTTCCTCCGAAATTATTACGTCCTACTTAGTAAGGGAGGGCTCTGTGAAACATCGAGCAATACAGTCGTCTTTATCAACGTTTAATACGAGGTAAACTAAAACGTACAATAATTCGATAAGAGGCTTGTGGGAGAAAGGAAAATGCCATCAAGCCTACATAGTTTGCATAATTGGATTAGCTAAATTGACGGTTCTAGAGTTCTCGCTTGTCTACGGAATTTTTATCGCACGATCATTGCACAATGCTTTAACAGATGGCGCCCCACGTTTAACGCAAAAATAATCCATAAGACAATAGCAATTGCTGCCTCGAATCAGAACTATCAATGAGGGTTTTCCGCAGATCACAATGTGCGGTACCGGATTCAAAGTTCCGGGTAAAGCTACAAACCCAGACTGATTATTAAGGCAGAACTCTCCAAGAAAATGGATTTTTTCCAAATTCCTTTTGGGAATAACAGGAAACTGGAACCTTAAATCACAGGCACATTACTACCAAGAACAAACGTATGAAGCCCACCATATGTCATTTCGAAAAACATCACATATTAGGGGAAATCCTTTTGCAGGCTGTAAATGCGTTGGTCTAAAAGCTATCACTGTACATTCATCCTTCAAACTCTATGGGGCTTTATGATGCAACACTGCGTCCCAAAACGAACAGGACGATACCGATCATGATGGACTAACAGCAAACGTATATAGGAATTTCAGAACCAAATGGCACCAATTCACCTAACACAGACTGTCACATAGAGTGGCAGATAATACGCTATTACTATCGAAGAATGTCTTGCTTTTCCGAGGCTCCCGATCAATTAAAGGAGGTTTGTTCTGAACAGCACATACTGTTTATCCAACCGCCACTCACTTTTGAAATCGCTTTTTTTCGCGAAATGCTTTACTTTACACGAATTTAGCGTCACAACTGAAAACAGCACCAGTCACCTACTTAATGCTTACTGCGGGGGAAATTCCCGACCACAGTCCAAACAAAATACCCGGGCAGTTAGTCTAGACCTGTCGTTTACTGCTGTTAAAAGTAGATACGAAAACTGGAGTTTGAATTTCAGAATTTGGTTTTTAATGATGGGGCCAAAGGGTGTCCGCTGAGATCTTTGATCGCACCTGATAAATAAAAACACTGTTTGCGTCTTGGTTTTTTCAACAAAAGAAATTGTTTGTGTATTTTCAGTTGTTTTGATTTTCAGACATTAGGGAACTCTTGACGAGTTGATTCGAAATGTCTGCCCTCAAGTGCCTAACAAAAATATTCGTGCTACATTATGTTGCCTTTGCACATCAGAGCAATACCAACCTTAAATTATAAAAGATATTTGGTCAGCAATTGACCTATCGACAGTGTTTTCTTCTGCTTTTGTGGATCAAACGGTACAATATCCCAGTAATATGCATTTTTGGAACACAGGTAAAGCTAACAGCCTTCCTGTCTAATACTGAACTGAGCTGCAAACACCATCCGCTTAGGCTTTTTGAAACGTTGACTCCACGGTTCTCCCAAACTTCTTCAAGTTAACCGTCCATAAGTTGCCACATTTTGTGCGGTTAGTATACAAGACCAAGTACTGCTGAGTGAACGTTGAATTTTGTTTTCAGACGGAGTGAATATTCATAAACACATATTCTCTAGAATAGCTGGTCATTCGTAACCCTCGTAGGTGAACCATTTCTCGTGAACCATGTGCGGCGACAAATAAAAAAATCCGCTAACTCTCTGATAATACTGTTGATTTTATAGGATACATTGCGAACTGATGCACTTAGCATGCATGACACAAAGATTGACACGTTGTAGACGTGATAATTTAACTGGACTCTCAACCATGCGTTAATAATTTTAAGCTGATTGTATGTAGTCCACAGTCAATATCGTCTTTGAACGTGGATTAGTTACCAAATAGTACAAACGACCTGACGTGTCTTCGCAGCATGTCGGCACTTGCTTGGTTTCCGCGGTGAGCATTATGTGGGCTGATCAACGTATGCTGACGACCAACATGACACAAGGTATTGTTAAGGTAGTGGTAACTATACCACCTGCATGCTTAAATGCATGAATTGCGCACTTTAAAAACATTTGGATCAACAAGTATGAGTTTTAACACCCGACAGAAAGCTTTCTCCGGTACGCCAAGTTAAGATTAATATTGTGATGAACACGATTGATACTCTATTCATTGCTCTATTCATTACTCTCTTGTTTTAATATTCCATATGCTGTACATATTCGCCAATTCGAATACATACGTGCCGGTTGCCACTCTTCGCTGAATTCTGGATTTCTAGTTTGTCGGGTTGTGCCGATATACGTACGAAACTTAATTACCACATTTTGGCGTCGCGATAGGAACAATTCATCATGCCTGCCGAAATGGAACCATTAGATGTTAATTCAACTGCGCGTGACGTAGAGGATTATTTGGAACGATTCGACATATGGTGCCTCACAAAATCCGATATGGATGATAAGAAACTCACTGCATATTTCCTGCATTTCGTTGGCAAGGAGGCGTATACTTTAATCAAGAATTTAGTATATCCTGAATCTCCAATTGATATTTCTTACACTGCATTGAGAAAAAAAGTTCTTCAACACTTCAAACCGATTAACTTCGTAGCAGCCGAAAGAGCTAAGTTCAATATGTTAACCCGCTCTCATTCTCAGTCGGTCCGTGATTTCGTGTTACAGCTGCAGACACAGGCAGCCAAATGTGACTATGGTGCCCAATTGGAAGACCAGCTGCGTGATAGACTCATTGCTGGCATTCAACTGCCCGAATTACAGCAGAAGCTGTTACTCTGTCCGGATCAGAAATTTCAAACTATTCGGAAAATATGTGAGCAGTATGAAGATGTGAAGCATGTGACGAAGACTGAGGAAGCAGTCTTGGTAAATTATTCTAAAAGAAATAATTCAAGGATGCGGACGAACAACAAATTCAAACCTCGAACAGATTCTCGTGCCTCAAATCCATCAACACGTCACTTCACAGATCGTAACCCTAATCCGATGGCTCAAAAATTCGGGAAATGCGAGTCTTGTGGACGAAACCATTCCAGATATTCATGCCCCCACAGACGAGCCAAGTGTTTTAGCTGCGGTAAAACAGGACACATTCAACTTGTCTGTAAGTCCAAGAAAGTGTGTCACTTAACTTCTGACCCAAACACTGACGTGAAGACATTATCTGAAGATATTTCTACTCTTTCTCTATCTGTTTTGTCCCAAAATTCGTCACATGTTTTTAAAACGTTGATATCCGCTTCTGGTCAAAAGCATGACTTTATTGTTGATACTGGTAGTGTTGAGTCCATCATTCCACAATCAGATCTAACTGCATTCTACCCCAGTGCCGTGATAGTGCCTACAGATATTAACATTCGCGGTATCACTGGACATTCTGTACCTCTCGTTGGTAGTTGCACGATCCCTGTGAGGTTACTACAAGGTACCTGTATCGATTGTAATTTTTTGGTATCAACGTCGGGACCATCGATCGTCGGACTCAAAGTTCTACGCTTACTGCAAACCAGTATCACCTTACTGACTTCTGCGAATGAGAATGAACTCAAGCAACTGATTCTTAAATGTTCTAAGGCCACAGGTGGCATGCAAATTCCCAAGATGAGGCTCGAAGTTACAGGAGAGCCTATATTTCTTAAGAGACGGATTATTCCATTTGGTTTACGCGAGCCTGTTCGTCAAGCATTAAATTCAATGTGTGCGAAAGGAATACTGACTCCTGTCGAGTCATCGAATTGGGCAACTCCGATCGTTACCCCACTGAAGGCTGATGGTATTACTCCGAGAATTTGTGGTGACTACCGGCTTACGCTAAATACGCGGCTACTACAACGTACATGCACCACGGAAGAGCCAGAAGATGTATTGTATCGTTTATCAGGTTCAAGTGTGTTTTCAAAAATCGATTTAAAAGATGCTTATCTTCAAATACCACTGGACGAAGCCTCCAGTAACCTTACCGTGATCAACACACCCTTTGGGTTATTCCGATACAATTTTCTTCCCTTTGGTCTGAACGTTTCACCAGCTGTATTTCAGCAAGTTATGAATACTATTGCAAAAGATTTGGAGGGTGTTGAGACGTACCAAGATGACGTCATTGTGCACGCTGCTGACAAAGCTACCCATGATATGCGTCTGTTGTCTTTACTGAAGAGATTTTCTGAGTTCAATGTAGCTATTCATCCTGAAAAATGCACTTTTGGTGTCCCATCATTTTCATGCCTTGGCTACATTGTGGATGGCAGCGGTTTTAAACCTGATACAAGACGTCTATCCCCTTTAGTAAATGCGCCATCACCGACCAATCTACAAGAACTGCGTTCAGTTCTAGGAGCACTTCAGTATTACTCTCGTTTCATTCCTAATTTCGCCAAACACGCAAGTTGTCTGTTTGATATCATATCTTCCAATCAATTTTCTTGGTCTTCCAACCATGAGAAGGCGTTGCGTGCACTGCTTGGTTATCTTCAGACTTCAGCTGTTTTGAAGCCATTTTCCGCCAAACATCATTCGACGATCATTACTGATGCTTCTCCCACTGGAATAGGAGCAATCCTTGAACAGTGTGGTAGACCAGTGATCTGCATTTCCCGTCGACTTTCAAAAGCCGAACGTGGATATTCTCAGACTCAACGAGAAGCACTTGCTGTATATTGGGCTGTCAAACGGCTTCATAAGTATCTTTTTGGATTGAACTTTACCATTGCTACTGATCACGAGGCTTTGAAGTTCTTGTATCATCCAACGAAGTCTCTGGCGAAGTCATCTGCCGCTATGGTGCAACGGTGGATTATTGCATTGAGTTCTTACACCTACACAGTAGTTCATCGTAGTGCGAAAATGATTCCTCATGTCGATTTCTTGTCAAGAATTCTATCATGTGACTCTGATTCAAACAACTCAGATTGTCTACTGATTCAACCATTACCAGTCAAGCGGGATGTGCTTGT